AGGACTTAATAAATTAATTAGCAATTAAAATTTGGAGTTTTACAACAAACAAAAATTGAAATCTCTAAACGAGTAACACAAATTTCAAAGAACAGAACCAAAAATATAGAGAAACATGTGAAGCCCGAAACAACAATTCTCTGAAACAATCGTTCATAAACTCTGTTTAAATCAATGAATTCCAACACAAACACATATACATTAACATGAATCAGAGAGATAGAAGACTTAATCAATCTACATGCAATTAAAATATTTCCAATGACCATATGTGGATGGCTTTAGCTAAAAAGATTTACAATTGACAAAACCTATCACTAAAAAAAAAATAAGACACGTACTTGAGATACTCACGACACACACACACAAAAATAGTGGACTAAACAAATCACAAAGAGAACAAAAAGATCACTTCGATTGTAATTTGGAATCAAAGAGCGAAAGACTTATTCAATCTACATTCAATTTAAATTTGAAATTTTAAAACTCACCCAATTGAAACCTCTAATCGAGTTTCACGAATTCAAAGATATTAACAACTCTACATGCAAATTGAAATTGTGACTTGCAACTAAATCGAGAGAACAAAAAGATTCACATCGATTTACAAGTCTCAAATCTAATTTGTGTTTATATGAACGCAAATCTCTAAACGAGTAACAAAAATTGTGACTTGAGATGAGAAAAAGACATAATTTCAATCACAAAAAAGAGTAGAGCAACGTACCTATTGATGTAGTCTTCAATCGTCGCTCAGATGAACACCGGAGGACCAACGATGCCGGAAAACACGCAGTCGGTGGAGATACGGCGGTGGGCTCGTTTGAGAGAGAGTAGGGTCCTTTTTGTTTTACCTCGACATGTTCATCTATGACAGGAAAAAAAAAACAGTTAATTAGGTATAGGTGGTTTAGATTTCTATTTAATTTTTGTAAATAGATTACAAAGTTTTATTTTTTAAATCAATTTTTATTAATTTTGAGAGAAAATGAGGGTAAAATTGGGTTTTTTATTTTCAAAAAACCTATTTGACCAATCTACAAGAAGAAGGGATATATGGACAATTTTTTAAGTAGATATCCTTTATTTCCAATTTTCCCTAAATTTAATTTATAATTCTTGAAAGAAGAAATAGATAAAACATTAAAAAGAAATAGATAAAACATTAAGAAGAAACTCGATAATGTTTCTTTTTCTTAAACTTATCTTCAAAATGGTGTGATCACACTCAAACGTCATTAAGAGCTATCATGCTTACACACACTCTCTCTCTCTCGTTTTCATCTTTAACACAACAAGTATATCAACAAGCTTTTGATAAAAGAAAATGATCTGTGTCAAAGTGTTTCAAAAACTAGGTTAATCTCCAAACATACACTCACTTCTCAAGATGTAGAACATAACATGACTTGAAACATTTTCACACACACAATGACCTTTGATGTTTGATTTTTTTTTCACGAGGAGAATCTGTCGCGGTCATGAAGCGAAGAGTAATCGATATTGGGGCCGTGAGGGATGATCCCGAATGGGTTTATCGTAGGGTGGCTCCCGTAGTAATGTTGCTTAATGTGTTCCATGTTCACAGTGCTACTCATGCCCTGGATTTGGTAGATATCTTTTATGTAGTTGAAGATATTCGGGTATTCCCGTAAGAGTCTCTTGTTGCATTTGAAGTGAACCGAGTAAACCTGGAATGCAGAAAAAGATGATGTGAAGAACCTGATGGGCTTTATGTTTGGAAACAAACAAAGATGACTCATATACCTCATCAAATCTTATGAGAGTGACGAATAATCGGATATCTGCTTCAGTGAAAGTGTTTCCACAGATGTATCGTTGTTTTCCGAGTATTTCCTCACATCTATCTACTGCTTCATATAACTGGTTCACTGCCTGGAGAGAAGGGATCAATTACGGTTTCTCCCAGTCAAAATGTTTAAGACATTGAGGAGTTTATACCTCATTGTAGGGTTCTTGTTTCCTAGCAAATCCACATTTATAAACACCATTGTTTATCCCGTTGAAAAGACCAGCAGCCATAGCTGGAGCCACTTTCGTGGCAAATATAATGCTTGGAAAATTCCAAGGGATGATATGACCAACCACTCCAATAGGTTCTTTAAGTGTGCATCCGATCGAACAAAGCTTGTCGCGTCATTTTAAGAGTAGGGCCGTGGATTTTATCCGCGGCACCCGCATTATACCGGAAATGACCGGCTGTGGCCGGAATATCCCCCAATTTTCCCAATTGGAACAGTTTCCGCCGTCAACCGCATCAAGTTTAGCCAATTCTTCGATATATGTTTTGCTCTATTAAGTCGGCGAATTTGTTGATAAGCCTTGCCCTCTCCTGATCACATCACATCCACCAAACTTGTTAAGTGAGAAATACACTATACTTTTTATAAATAACACAAATGTCACAAACTAGAAAGGAAGAATAGTCACGTCTATTAAAAAAAAAAAACAGAAAGAGTAATAGTCCATTTCTGAATTTGAAGTATATAACTTACAAAGAAACCCATACCAGAAATTACTTTATTTAATAAATAAACTGAAACTTCTCTATACTATTAAAAGAGAAGTACAAATGAAAATGGGTCGGGTTAAAATCAAAAAATTGACCCGAAATTCTGAAATCGGATCTTTGAAATTTTTTTGGAATATAAATTCGAATTAATAATGAAAAATCGAAATAAAATCAAATATTTATGGAAATCAAATAAAATCTTATTGTACTTATGGTAACTAATAATAAAAGCATATTCCAAACAATATTATACATTAATTACGTATAATAAATTTGTTCATATATTTTTGGGACTAATTCCATAACAATCAACGTTTTTGTCATTAATTTCGCTCATTTTAACCAATTATCATTAATTGAAAGATATTTTACTTGCTTCTAAAGATTTCTAGAAAATTTATCACAAATAACTCATCTGTTTTATAAATTAAATTGATATTTTTATTTTGGTCGTGTAAATTAAATAGATATTTTTATTTTGGTCGTGTAAATTAAATAGATATGAAATCCATGTAACTAATTTTAATTTAATTAGATTAAATCAAAATTATGATATTTTCATACCTATAGCTTACCAAAGAAGTTTAATTTTCAATTTATAAAGATTTCTTGAATATGATTTTAGAATTATTCAACAAGATGATAAGTATTTATTAAATTTTGTGAATCATGAAAAATAATAACTAATTTTTAATCATTATACTTCATCTTTCAATCTCTCATCTAACAAATAAGATACATATTCTATTATTACTATGTTCAAACTTCATTTTGTTGTATGACTAAATAATATTCCCATTAGAACTGTCAAAGCGAGTTGATTCGTCCCGTTAAGTCCGTTTTGCGATAGACAAAAAATATTTTGACTTGTAGTTAGTCGGTCCGCACGACCCGCGGGTAGCATATATGAAATACAAACCCGTCCCGCGAATGTATGCGGATTTGCGGGATTGTCCATGGATTTTGTTTAAATAATTTTAAAGTAACCAAAATTTAAAATACTACTAAAATAAATAAATAAATCAAAATACTATTAAAAGTTTGTTTAAATTACCACATGTTGAATAAATTATAATTTTATCAATAAATACTAATATGCAGGCTGATCCGCCAACCCGCGGATGAAAACCGATTAAACCTATGACCCACTGCGAGTTAATCCATGTGACCCGCTTATTTGCGGATTTAATATATTTTCCCAAATCTGCCCTATAGTGAGATGATGTGGGCTCGATCCGCGGTTTTTGATCTATTTTGACTGCTCTAATTCCCATGAATCGTCTAATTTTAGAATTTTAAAACACAAAATTCTATTTTGTAAATCATAATTAATACGATGGGTATATTTATAAACAATTTTACATTTTCTCTACAATTCGTTATTATGAATATTTATAAGTATACTATATGATTCGTTCTACTAAAAACACACACACAATATTAAACGCAACGTATGTAAACCAATATTCTCCCGCGGTGGACCGCGGGTCCGATCCTAGTTTAAGTACAATTAAGAATATGCTAAACTAATAATGAGTAACACGTTTCTAGTAACAACATGAAAGTGACACCATCCGCAAAATAAGTCAAACCTCTCCCTCTCTCTAAAGTTAAATAACAACACGACGGTTGATAATTTGCATGTCAAATCAATGAGTTTCAATGTATCAATGTATGTATGTATAAAAAGAAAATGACGTGGAGCTCCCGACCATAGTCTGGTATGTTTGTGTCCACCAAGTGCACTAAGAGGAGAATTGGACGAAGATTACATTCAAGCCTGATTTGAAGAAGTTTAACATGACTGAATTGGACAACGATGTGGTTGCTCTAATGAGTAAGCGAGTGCTTGAAATTGCTGGCTGTTTGGGAAAGACAGTTGACCTGAATGGAAAACAAGTACCAATTAAGTCATTCAGTGATTATGTTGATCTCTACTTAAGTGTCGCCAATAAATCAAGGACTGAACCTCTCCCAAGGTTTGTTCTATGATTCGTTATTGAGTTATAACAATTTTGGTGTCTTGGAATAGATTTTGATATTTTTGAGTTTTTGTGTGAGTAGGATGACTGAGAAAGTTAATGGTAGATGGGAGGTTTGTGTGGGCTGGCTATTATTACCTTTTGTTCTTCATGATGAATGAGTAAACTCGTTTTTGGCTACTAACAGGTTCGCTTTGTCAACTCCATTGCCACAATTAAGGGTGGTACGCATGTTGATTATGTGACCAACCAGGTCACAAAGTACAATATTATGTAAAGATACATAGTGACTAGTGCTTGAGGTAAATTATATTAACTAGCCCTGGGCGTTCGGATCCCCGAACCAGATCGGGTTCGGGTCTTCGGGTCTTCGGGTTTACACAAATAGAACCCGTTCGGTTATTATATACGATCGGTTTGGGTTCGGATCGGTTATCATCGGGTTCGGTTAACTTCGGGTATCACCCGAAACCGATATAAAATTCGGATAACCGCTCTTGTTCGGTTATTTGAACCCGAAATTCATAGATAACCCGAATTAAACCCGAAACAACCGATATACCTGTGAGAATTTGACTATTCCCAGTTTCAATACACAAAATAACAGATATATAAACATAGAGGATAAAGAGAGAAAGAGTAAAAGAGATAGAATTCAAAATCCAATAAACTTAAAAAGAGTATTAGAGTAGAATGACATAAGATCAAAGAGGAGAAAGTCTTAAAACTAAAGAGCAAATCCGAATGACCAAATCACCAAAACCAAAGAGTATGATAGATTGTTCAAATGATCAAATCTTAAAGAGTTAAAGAGAATGGAAGGAAAAAACACTTGAAGACTCTTGATTCTTGAAGATAAACTTCCATCTGTTCCTGTGACATGTAATGTGATTCATAAATACCAAGAAACATAAAATGTGATTTATTTGAAAGCATAAACTGGACATTACCTTCTACATAAGCCGGCTGCTTTACCAAATCAAGTAGGGGTGCTGAATTGGTTTCCAAAGTTAAACTCTAACAGATAAATAAAAAACAGATTAAATACTTTGTAATCAACAAATAAGAAGCTAAAATCAATTGGATAACAAGATAATATACCTTTTTCAAGTCCATCTTCAAATTCAACTTCTGCAAGTATTTGTTGATTTGTGAGCACCTTTAATTCACAATCGATGTCTTGTTTCAACCACTGCTCTGAACACATCAACACTTCAACCATGTAACTAGTTAAACAGCTTCTGTATGAGTTTATTACTCTCCCACTAGTGCTGAATGCACTTTCAGAAGCAACAGATGACACCTGCATAGCAAACAAATCACGAGCCATTTCTGATAAGATTGGATACTTGCCACTGTTGACTTTCCACCAAGAGAGTACATCAAACTCTAAACCCATCATGACCTGCGGATTTTCAACCTTATCTCTAAGATATGTATCCAACTCATCTGTGTCTCTAACTCCAATCTTATTAAGCAAATTATTGTACCTACTCTCCACAGGATGATACCCAAAAAACTCATCATCAGCAGAATCAGACCATGAACATCCCATAGGTTGCTCTTGAGTACATTGAGATGCACTCTGATTTGTCACATCAGATTGTTGCTGCACACACTTGTATCTCTGACTATACTCCTCATACATATCCCTCATGATACTTGAAACTGATTCTTGCATCACCCTAGCTGTTTTACTACCTTCACCATACAGATCATCAAAACACATACTTGCAAACTGCATTTTCTTTCTCGGATCAAAAACACTAACAATTACCAACATCTTGTTAATGTTCTTCAAGCCATCCCAATACTTATCAAACTTCTTAAACATTTCCTCAGCCTTAATCTTAAGTTCATTATCACTAGTAGCACAAAGCAGTTGAAGTTTCTCTGATATATTCACTATCTCACCATAACACTTGTGTGCATTCAGAGTACTAGAAGCTGAAACTACCAATGTGGATTGGTAGAATATGTTAAGAAACTTTACTAACCTCTCAACTTGCCGCCATTGATCGCTTGTTGGTGGTCCAATCCTTTTTTACCATTCTCAACCTCTAAGAAATGATCATTATACGGCATGTCCTCAATCTCCATCCTATCAAATGCTCCCTTGAATTTCAGAGCCCTCTGCAACATCAAGTATGTTGAATTCCATCTTGTTTTGACATCCAGAGGCAAACTACCCCTTGTCATCCTCCCAGTATCAACCCTAAGCTCAAATGACTTTTGCCTAGTAGTCCCTGACCTAACATAAGATATGGCATTCCGGACTGCAGTAACACTATCAGCATAATCAGACATTCCTTCCTTAACTATCAAGTTGATTATATGACCAGCGCATCTCATATGCATAAAATCCCCATTCATCACCAAAGAATCATCTGAAATAATGGAGAAATTAGACTGAAACTGACCAAGTGCATTAGTATTTGCAGATGCATTGTCCACAGTGACGCAGAATACTCTTTCTATTCCCCATTCAGCAAGGCAATACAGAAGGGTTTTGGAGATGGTTTTCCCTTTGTGGTCAATCACAGACTTGAATCCTATAATTAGCTTCTTTAACCTCCAAGATTTGTCAATGTAATGTGCTGTTATCACCATATAACTTGCACCTGTCCATTTCAAATAAGAGAATGATTAGATTACATAAAAAGATAATAAACTAATTTATAGATTAAAGGAAAGAACATAACCTGTAACTTGACAAACCCAAATGGCAGTTGTGATTGAAACTCTTTGCTTGCTTGTTATAAACCATTCTCTCATAGCAGCTTTCCTCTCAACATACATCTTGACGATGTCTTTTGATAATGTTCTTCTTGATGGAGGCCTGTATAAGTTTACCTAAAAAAACAAGTATATAAGTATATTAGCAAATATGTAAGATAATATACTGTCTAAAGAAGTAAAGAATATAATACGAACTAACCTTGTCGCAAAAGTGTCTAAATGCCACACTCTCTACAAACGCCAAAGGTAACTCTCCTATAACAACCATCTGATGTACTGCTGCTCTAAAGATAACCTCAGTCACTTTAGCAGTCTGTAAATGACCATCTCTATTAATCACTGTCTGACCCTGACTTGGATCTTGACCATCTTTAAAAGCACCGTAACTTTTACATATGTCAAGATGACTCCACAAGGTTGTAGTCCCTGATGTGGTTGGACAAGATAAGGTCCTCTTACAGTAGTTGCAATCACATTTGTTACGGTTGAGTGGCCACCTTGTGAAATGATTCCACACTTCAGACCGTGTGGGGAGTATCTTCTTGACCTTAGCATTGTCTTGTTCAGTACCCTCCTCATTTTCAGATCCATCAACATCAGCATCTGCCTCTGCAGCTCTACTAGAAGGTTTTTGTTTCCTTTTGCCTCTGCGAGTTGAATCCGGTGTCAGAAATTCTTCTGCTTCTGGCAAATCATCATTCTCATCAGTACCTCTGTCTCGATTGTCATGGGTTGGAGATGATGAATCCATCTGTAACACAAATGCACAATAACATCAATAAGTTTTGTTCAGTTTCTTAAACAAAACAGAACAAACTAATCAGAAACTTCACTTACTAAAACTAATGCACACTAACATCAGTAAGCTTTGTCTAGTTTCTTAAACAAAATAAAACAAAACTAATCACAAACTTCAATTACTAAAACTAATGCACAATAACATCAGTAAGTGCATTTACTTAACCAGTAACACAAATCAAAGTATCAAGCTAATGAAGTTACTAAAACTAATGAACACTAACATCCGTAATACAAATGCAAACTTGTCCTAAAGCTTACATGTAAAACGTCCTAGCTCATAACATCAAAACGAGTCAATAAAACGAGTTAAGAAGAAGAAGAAGCAGAAATACCCGAGATTTTGTGGTTGAATTCTCAGACGGAGGAGAGTTGAGGTTATGAGCTAGGGTTTCCATCAGGAACCTTGGCATCTATACTTGAGGTTATGAGCTAGGGTATTCACTTTGGCCGCCCAAAAAGTAGCCTCGAATTCGAAAAAGGAACTGGATCGTCGAGATTGAGAAGTGGAATCGAC